CAGCATTAGTGCTACAGTTATTATAAAGTGAATTAACAGTACTAAATCTGTTTTTTTTTTTTTTTTAAAGTGCTATGCTGATGATTTACCGTGTTCTCTTTAACTGAAAAGGATTGACTTTCACCACAGCACAGGGGAATGAAACACAAATCTGTCGGCTCCTGTGCTGTTACTCCCAATTTGGAGCGCAGGGTGCAGCTCAGGGAGGGAGCAGACTACAGTCCATCTGTTGAGGCAGAGAATAGATTTCACAAGACGAGTGTGGGAGGCACGCAAATAAAATCTCATCCTAGCAATTACCCTACCTACTAGGCACTTCCCATGATCAGCTCGCTAGGCTGTTCCCTGTAACAACCAGGGATTGTGGAGTTTCTTGCTGCCAGCTGCACTTCTCCCTGCAGCTCAAGCACATCTTTTTTTTAATTTATTTTTATTTATTTATTAATAGCCCTGCTGCTTAGCTAGGCACACGTGCCAGGCACTCTGGAGGCTTCCCTGGAACTTTCTTCCTAGTCAAAAATTTTTGGCAGTGGTTTTCTAATTAACTTACTCTTTCATCTGGCCTAGGTAAACTTTGCTAAATTCACCCAGCATATTAGACTAGGCAAAACACAGCAGTGTAACAACAGTTTAGACTAGGAGTTGTTTATTATGTTTCCTTATTTTATGCTTTATGAGTTATAACCAATACATATGCTACTTCTCCATTTTATATACAAGATACTATCTATGTACTTTCATATCAGGGTTCCTCCTGGCAAAGGCTCATTTACACTGATCAGACAACAAGTCCACAAATATACAAATAAAACACACAGTCAACTTGTGTAAATTCAAAATATTGAGTATAGGATACTAACACAATCCTGAACACATCCTTAGGGGTATTTTCTCAGGATATGCGACTTCAAAACACAACTGTTAGAAATGGAAATCTCTTTCCTTTATCTGCATCTGCCATAAAGGAATCTGAACTGAGGTTATGATAAAGATAATTTTTAAAAAGCCACTGGTTTCATGCATATTGGTCGGAAACAGAGAATAATAAAATATTAAATCGTAATTACAGCTGTGGTCAGTGCTATTCAGTTGTGAATTATTTGGTGCCTCTATCTGGTAACCACTGGCTACAAACATCAGTATTTACCAGATACCACCCACAGTACTGTCTACAACATTTCCTGCACTGAACCCAAAAATTAACTGCCTATCTTGACTTCAACTGATGGGAATTCCATAGCTATTTCTGTGTTAAACCTACAGATACCATCATTCAACAGTCTAAGGATTCCATTTCATCCACCTAGATATTTTAATCACTATCTGTGGAGCTCTAGCTATAATAATTCACAAAAGAGAGTGACTGCTACTTGGCTTTCACTTCCTACTAATTAAAATCAAGTCCTCTAGATTAAAAGCTCTCTCCTGTTCTGCTCAAGTAACTGAGAGTACAGTGGTTATTTTTTTTAATAAAAATAATTTGGTTTCTAACAACCATGGTTATCTGCTTTGCCTGGCAAGTAATATACCACCTTTCTTTGCTAGCTGCTTGCCACCATAATACTATTTCCAACATGTGACTTCTCTTTCAAGGAGGAAAAGCTATGCTAGGAGGAATGAAACCTGGATCTCACATTCTACAGTTGGAAATCTTTAATTCAAATCTTATCATTCTACTCCTGAAGGTAGGGAGTGGATGTGGATGGGACTGGTTAATGTAAAAAGTGAAGACCAGGGATTTTTCACCAAGATAATGAGTAGATCTCCTTATCTTCGTACATGACTTACGTTTTTTTTAATAGCTAATTAACAAGGCAAAGCCACAGGCATAAAGGTACTCGAATTTCAGGCCTTTACGCTCAGAACAGGATTTACTGAAAATTCAGTCGGGGTTGTTCCTGAAAACCCATCCAGAACTCTAGTAGGAACAGTCTGCAACAGCTCACTCATTAAAGTAAGTTTCATGAGAGAAGCAAAAAGCCGAGCTAGTCTGAAATAACCCACAAGTGACTCTGTGACACTTGAGAGGGCTCATCTATTGAAGAGGTAATGTAGGAGAACGCAGGAACGTTCCCAAGAGCTCCTCCAAGAGCTGGGAATATTAAGGAGTCCAAAACTTTTGACATCTATATGGGGGGTGGGGGGGAGGGGGGGCAGAGAACGGTTTCTTGTAATGTTACATCAAAGACAAAGAGACATTGGAACAAACACGACACTGTACCTGTACAGAGAAAGCATGTTTAGGCAATGACACAAGTCCATAATGAAATGTTTTCATTATCGTTTTTATAACAATGCATCGTAATAACTAACATACCAAGAAAAACACATTGATTGCTTAGGTAAGATAGTGAAAGATGTGCTTTATACCAATAACAACACACTACTCCTTTTACTGCTGTAATACAACGGAAAACAAAAGTTTGTTTTACATCTAGATGAATATTTTACACCGACTCACAGTCACCTGTACTTTCACAGACTGTCACCTGGAATGGACTACTCTTGTCTCTCTAACAGCAACAACCTGATGTTGTAAGGAGAGTACAATTTCACTGCAGGAGCCAAGAGAAGCAGCTGAACTGGTTTGTCAAGATAAAAGGTATGATAATTAGCAAGGACATTGCCATCTCAATCTGAAAGGGATTCCTACAGTTGAAAGTGGGTTTAAGTGTCAGAAGTGTCATTAATCATTGCTAGGCTTTCCTGTGTGAAGTTAGCTGGTCACAGCTCCATGAGGCTGCAGTTCTCCCGGTCGGGAAAGTGAGGCCAATGAGTTGCCTCCAAAGCAGTTGCAGTTGAAGAACAGAAATACAGGAGGTCTTCTGATGAGCTCGGGTATTTTAAAACGCAAAGGAAGGTGCAGTAACCGCATACGGCACAATGATCTAGCCTGCTCTGCTTGAATATTTTCTGGCTGCCACCACACAGGCAAACTCTTCACTAAAGGTTAAACTATTCAACACGCAAGTGCGATTTCCGTATACTGCATAAGGAAAGAAACTGTTTACTTTATCATAGCAAGACCACATTAATACGGAGGCAATGAGCTTAATATTCAAATGTGAGAAATGTTTAGCTGTCTTTGCTTGAAAGATTATTTTGATGTTTTGATATGCAATTAAAATATATACTTCACAACATCCAGGTTCTTGCACTGCTATTACCGTATTATCTGGGGTAATAATACGGTGAAGGATTCATAAGCATGCCGTTCTTCAGCATCAAGACAATTTCAGGTGAACAGAACTCTTTTTTGTGAATCATAACAGATGAGTCTTACCATAGTAATTTATTTCTTAAAAATCTAGTTTATTGCACTTGTCTCAAAGCACAACCAAAACCAAAAATCTAAATACAGAAATAAAAGTAAAAAACCCACCCTAATTTTATTAAAACTACACTAAAAAGTAGTTCGAGAAGAGCTTTTGACACTAATTTCATATTAATGACCACAGAGCAAGGTACAGTATTATATAGTAAACAAACAGCTAGCAAGCTCAAGCCATTACTGAGATGACTTTGAAAAATGTAATACAAAAGTGTCGCTATTAAATAATGCCATTGTATTTGAGCATCTGGTGTTTGGCAGGGTGCAGATAAGTAGTCATGTCCCTTCTCCAAAGCAGTTGACTCAGGAGCTGACATAAGATGCTTAAGCAGAACTTCAGCTTCTTCAGGGTCCTCAAGATACCAAGCTATGCTTGCATAAGACAGACTGGGGTTACTCCATGAGCCGATTCCATTACAATCCACTGCCAGACAGGCTAAAAAAAACCCTCTGGGGTAATCTCCATATATAGATGGGATAGCAATGAAGCAAACATATCATCTGTAAACGGGAAACAAATCTGTCTTCCCTGTAAGACTGAAAGATCACACTGAGAACTGACAGCCAAAAATCACAACTGCTACTTCAAAACAAAGAAAAAAAAAAGTGACATGACTTGGTTCTCTCTCCACAGACTTACATTCTCACCTTGCACCACGTTTGTTCCGCGTACACGCTGAAAGAGAACAGAGGTTAAAAAGGAAACACATCCTTTTCTCTACATATTAAGTTCTCAAAACAGAAACATCCTCACATTCCAACTCCTGTCCTTTTCTGTAGCTAGCTCATTTACAGTACTGGTTAGCAGCTGTTTAAACATTCTGATGATTTATAAGCTTAGAAAAAACACAAAATAACTCCTCCACCTACATACTGAACTCAAGTTCCTCTGATCTACAGTTCTATTGCTTAAAAAACGTGAGGTATCCTTTAAAGAAGATTTAGAGTTTAAAGAAAAATAAACTGCAATGATCTACTTAGGTTATTTCCAAGTTCATCACATACCTCTGCTGTAACATCTATTAAGTATAAGACACTTCAAAATTTAGCTAACATAGCTAAAAATCACAATATTGTTAAGTACCTTCCCACAATATCACAATATTTTTTTAATGGGATATACAGGTAATACTATCAATCACCAGTTTTCTCTTACTACATCTAAGTTTGACACTCAAAACAATTTGAGTCCAAATGTTAAAGCACTGGCTGGAGGCACAAATGTAGCGCAACAGGTATTATGAAAACTGCCTTGCACGTTCCTGCTTGGTACTACAAACCCAGTATGCAACTTCTTCCTATGCCAATGTGGGACTTACCCCCCCAGAAAACCGTCAGCTTCCTGATGGCTATGTGAAATGGGCATAAGTCCCCCCAGTATTAGGCGAAATTCAAACTTCTCACTTGTCAACGAAGCCAAGTTATGAACCAAACTTCTAGAAATACAAGGTTAGTATAGCCTTGCAGATACTTAAATGGAAATGGATCAAACTAAGCTCATCTCAACACCAGTGCTGTGTAATCATGATGTTCTGAGATCTTACTAAGAAATGCTTTGCCGTATTTTGTTCCATGCTGCAAGGGAAACATCATTCTAAAAACGTATAATAGTCAGAGAGCATTCCCATCAAATTGGAGTTCCAAAGACAAGAAGAAATTGAGAAATATGTAATGTTTCTGCTGTAGAGAAATATTTAATATAACAGAATTCCTTCTCAAAAAGAAGTACACGTATTAGTGTGCATGCTGTTGTAAAATAGTCACTGTCATTGCTATTAAGATTAAGTTAAGAGTTATATTTCCAAAGGAGCTGCTACAGTAGTACGGTATAACAATCGCAGTAAGTATGCCACACCTAAAGAGTCTCCAAAAAGATACTGGAACAAACATCTGAACTCACAGTTTGGGGGCTATTTAACAGGTCAGTTTTTCCAATTCAAAAGTGCTAATATCATAGGTCCAATATGAGTGGCTTTTAGATCCCAACATTCTGTACGTACATAACAGGAATTCAGCATGTCCTTCTATTTTTTTCACTGCTTCATATGCTTGAGAGACTTCATATCACTTCCCACTCATCTTCAAAATCATCAGGATGAAGCAAAACAGAAGTGTCATTATTTTTCTGCAAATTATGAGAATGGCTAAAGGTCTTGGTGAGGCGCTGGAGAAGGGATCCTGAAGGACTAATCGCCCACAGTTCATCTAGAGGGGTCACTGCAAAGCATAATTATCCGTCTTTTAATTAAGGTAGTAGGCTTCAAAACATTAAATAAATAATATCCAATTACTTTTTTCTAACTGGTTACTACTAATATGACAAGAGTATCCTGGTGAAACTCTCATGGCCAATCAAGCACTTAGATTACGTACCTCTCCCCGTTTATGAACAGTTTTATGATCAAGGCAGAAAGCAAAGCAGACATCGCAAAAATCAGTCCACAATTATTTTAGACGGCCATGCAGAATTAACTTGCCTGTTAAACGTGTCACATTTCCAGGAATCTTCTTCCAGTAGTCTCCGGCTGGATTCTTGTCGGTAACGCCATATCGACGAGCTACATCTCCATTTGGACAGCGTGCCCAAACCGTTCTTGTACTTACAGCCAGCTGACAAGCCTGCAGCCCTTAACGTAATCAGACATGAAGAGGAAATAATGATATGCTTTCTTACATATTAAATAATTTTGCAGGAAAGTTTAGTAAGAGGCTGTGCAAAATAGGATTAGGTTTTTGTTAGCCACATCTGGACAGGACCTCCATTTTGAGTCACATTTAAATACAGAACTTTCCAAAGCACAGCAGCCTCCTATTTCTTAGGAACGTTGCTTTAGTATTAACTGAAAGGGAACTGTACCACTTAA